CTCTCTCTCTCTCTCTCTCTCTCTCTCTTGTCTGGCAAGAATGATTACGTACGTACGTCCATTTTAGTCTCAGAACAACAATGTATCCTCTACATTTTGCTTGGCCCTCGCTTTAGACCGTAAACAACATGAGAAACAGACGACAAAATTGTTTTCGAACAGGAAAGCGTAATTTGAAGACGGCAGCAGGAGAAAAAAAAAAAAAAAAAAAAAGTAAAAGAAAACGATGCAGGCTGCTGCTATTTATATTCGTGAAATGAAAACAAGTTTTAAGAATTGGAATTTTGGTTCCCGGCGCACAGCACGTCCTCATTAACGAATGACAAGCCCTGCTGGCAGTAGATGAGCAGCAGACGTTTCCTACAGCTCCGCGCCATGCTCCTGCTGCCTCTGCTGCCAGCTCTTGTAGACCAAACGTCTGTCGCAAGTCGTAAATGTTCTCCTGTCGTTCGGTTTTGTTTTCACTCTCATTTTCGCCTGCTGCGGTTTTCCAATTCAGTAATATGGTTTTGTTTTGTTTTCCCCCGTTAAGAATGCGATACGTCACAACAGGACAATTAAGTAAAAGGGTCGGTCGGCCATTTCCAAGGCTGCGTCTTTCGTAATAGACGAGCGCGCTTTTTCTTCCATTTCTCTTTCGCTTTCTTTGTCAGCGGGAACAATGGAATTGCTTATTAGTGGACGCCATAACAAGGAAAATGGCGCTCTTGTTTTTCCGCTTCTCTTTATCGTCCTTGAACTTCATTTACTGCGTATCTGTTTTTACTTGTTCAATTTTTTATTTACACTTTTATCATATATTCATTTGTTTGCACTTGATACATTTATCAATTTTTACTTATTATATTTATTCATTTCCCCCCAGGCTCTGAACTTGCACTCATGTACAACGATGAATCTGTTCTTGAAAATCATCATCTCGCCGTGGCATTCAAATTGCTCCAGGAGGAAAACTGCGATATCCTGTCCAATCTCACCAAAAAACAGAGACAGTCACTCAGGAAAATGGTCATTGATATGGTGAGTTAATTGTCTTGAATCCTGCACAGGCAATATACCTATATTATCACACTGAAATAACGTGCCTATGTCTGTATCAAACTGCCATGTATCCCGGCTATGGGGATTATTTATTTAAAGCACACATGCTCGTGTAGGAGTAGAATGGCTTCTGGGTGAATGCGTTTTATGATGTCACTTAACAAAATCAGTGTTGCGTCAATTTTTATTTAAATTAAAATAACCCCACATACAAAGACGAGGGATTTGGTTTTCTTCACCTCTTCTTATTTTTCAAGATTGAGTTCTATAGAACATAGATATATTATATAGATTCTATAGAAAATAGATGTCAACGACTTTTGCTGCTATGATTTTCTAATGTGATATTCACATATTCATCAGGCCATAATATTTTTTCTTCTCCCAGACAAATTGTTTTGACATTATTACATTTCTGTTTAGCTTTGTAAGTCGTCAAGGAATTCAAAGTTTGCCTCTCCTCTGATTTAATTTTTGTCCTATTTATATTCTGAGTTCACCTTTGAGGGTCATTTTATAGTCCTTGATTTTTTACTCTAATTTTAAAAGGAAATCATTCACCTTTTCCATCTGTCTTTCAGGTATTGGCCACAGACATGTCCAAACACATGAGCCTATTGGCTGACCTCAAAACCATGGTAGAAACCAAGAAAGTTGCAGGATCAGGGGTGTTGTTGTTAGACAACTACCAGGACAGAATACAGGTGAGGACGGGAATGTGAAAACATTCAGGGAATCATTAGTAGACACATCAGAAGAAAGAAAAAAAGTGTTAATTTTTTGTTAAATTTTTTGTGTTTTGTGGTGTTCACATTTGCATAAGGATATATGAGCGTGCAGTGTTACATTTATACTTTTTAAGAGCATAGATCGCCCACATTTCCTTTTTCTAAAGACATACTGGCCTTGTCAGTAGAAGAACTTTGTCAAACTTGGACTCTCAATAATTTGTTGAAAGCTAGCTGTGATTGAAGAGCCAGATTGATTTTAACTGTTGGTTTTCAATGGGGCAAAAAACTTATGAGTCCTTTTTTCTGATTTTCCAGGTGCTTCAGAACATGGTTCACTGCTCCGACTTGAGTAACCCAACAAAACCTCTGGACCTGTACAAGCTTTGGGTGGATCGCGTCATGAACGAATTTTTCCGACAGGGTGACCTCGAGAGGCAAGAGGGTCTGGACATCAGCCCTATGTGCGACCGGCACACAGCAACCATCGAAAAGTCACAGGTCAGTTACGTTAAGAATTTAGCTAATTAATAATGCTACTAGAAAAAGCATATATATAACTTGTAACAATCATTTCATTATGGCATTCTAATAAAAGTGACTAGCAATGTGAAAATTTGACTGTAAAAACAGTTTGGTTTTAGTTTCCTGTAGAAATATGTATCACAGTGACTTTTGTATTAGGAGATGATGAAAGAAAACGAAAGCTCAAAGATGAACATTACTGAATTTGTGTGGACAATTACTTTTCATATTTTATTCCCATTTAATATTGCGAATTTCAAAGGATAGATTCCTTTGAAATGTATACAGCCTTTCAACACCTTACTATTTAAAAATATTTTACTATTTTATTTTACTTAGGGGTATTCGTTTGTACCTTATGTCTGCTGAACTAGATTTTCCTCACACTGACAAATCTGGAATCATTGTGCCTTACAGTGAGCAGATTGCTGTGGTGACAGCTTGTACTGAACAGGTTAATGAGCAAACTCTTTCCTCTTGTCTCTGCAGGTGGGCTTCATTGACTACATCGTGCACCCTCTATGGGAGACCTGGGCCGACCTGGTCTACCCTGACGCACAGGAAATCCTTGACACCCTGGAGGAGAACCGAGAGTGGTACCACTCGACCATCCCCATCTCTCCCTCTTCCTCTTTCTGCAGTAACAAGGCAGACGAGGAGGACAAGTTTCAGTTCAACGTAGAGGAGGACGGAGAGACACAGAGTCAGAGCAGCGCGGAGAGCGAACAGTCAGTGATACGCGTGCAAGCCCCTTCTTCCCCGTCAACTTTGTCAAATGCTGCTGCCGCTGATTCGTCCACTCTCACTGCAAACTCTGTACGACATTCTTCCTCCTCCTCCTCCTCCTCCTCGCCGCAACCAACCACCCCACTGGAAGCAGGGGCCAGCAGAAGTGGTGCAAACATGAACATTAATGCCAACGCCCACAGTCGAACAGGCACAGATCACAGAGGACAGGACAAGAAATGACTGTGCTGCTGCAGCGTTCAAACTGACTCTGACTAGGCTGTGCATATACAAAGACTTTTCTACCACGAAGATACCATTACCAACGCCAGTTTCTTTTCCATAATTCTTCATTATTTGCTGTTTGTGCGTGTGGTGTGTGTGTTTGAGACAATATTTGCCACCACACCACATTTCAGAACTGACCGTTTTCCTCACAAAAGGTTGGAAGTGAACTTTTCGTAACTCTATTAACAAGTAGAAACGAAAACCTTGGGTAAGGTAGAAAGAGAATGCTGCAAGTTCTGCTTAATGCTTTATGGTTTTCCTGGTGTTGAGAGAGGGATCCCAAGTTACTTTTCATGCTTTTTTTCTTTTTAAATTATAATAATAACACGGTTCTTGTCTTTTGTCCCAGTTCACCCGATCTACAGTTCACTAAATGACAGAGCTTTGCTGTGATAGTCTGTATGACTTGACTTGCTTCACCTAAGGGGCAACAGAGTGACTGCATGCTCATTACTTTGCATAAGGAGCGCACTGCGATATTTGTAAACCTTTTTGCTCCAGAGTTTTTCTATGGTTGCTGATCCAACAGTCACAAGAGGACTCTGGTACCCCGCTCCCCCGTCCCACCCACCCCCAATTCCCCACCCGGAAATGAGCATCGTCTGGCGCATGCTCATGCTGGCGTTGTCATCGCGATCACAATACCAAATTTGACAGGGAGCAGCTCATGATGTGATGAGCTGTGTGAAGTGAGAAAGATGTGGTCAATGAGTGTGTGGCTATTGTATCTGTTGCTGGGAGTGAGTGAATGATCGAGAAAGTTCTAACTTCTACTGCTCGTAATGTACATAGCATCTTTTGGCAGATTGATTTTCTTTGGTATGTCTGTCTTTTGGATTTAACAGTCATCAAATGAATTGTTTGATATGTTGTGTGGTTATATATATATATATATTATATATATATATGTATATATATTATATATATATATATATATATATTATATATATAATTTATTAAGAAAACTAACGTCCCATTAACTTACCTAGATTGGTCTTCAAACCGTTTCATGCATTCTAACAGACAAGTTTCGATTGTAGCCATTTTCATGTTATACAAGCAAGGTCTTTGGTTTGTGTCCAGAGATTCCTCCTCTCCTATGTCCGTGTACATACTGTGAAAAAACAAACCTGAAACGTCTCTCTTTTTGAATATGTGTTTTCTTGAAAGGTCTTCGACCCAAGCATATAATGTCAAATGTGAAGTGCTGTGCAACTGATTTAGAACTCTTTGCTTTCTTTTGCTTTAGTTCTCAGAACATGCCACTAGGCCTCTGAATAATGGGACTCCTATCTTTATTCCTAAAAATTTAGATCGGTTTCCTATCGGTTCAGGAAAAAACATCTTTGCCTGGTGGACTTTTCATCTCATAGAATGTTTTTGGGTGTACTAAACAATGTCTGTATTTTATAACAACTATGTTTAACAACTTGTGCTGTGCTTTGCCCTCTTGAAAAAAAAACAAGAGCTACTTGCAGGGTTTTTTTTAGATCTGAAGATGTTGATAATGTGCATCGAAGAATGTCAATTTTTGCTTCATGCAAAGAAGAAACCCCAAGACTTCATTATTATACCCTTATGTGGAATTTGTAGTAATTCACACATTAGGGAAAAATTGTGGAAAAATTATGCTACAGTTCAGGGCAGACACAGGATTTTTACTCGTACTTGAAAATTTCGCTCTATTTTAACCCGTTGTGATATTTTCAGTGTTACTGTTTCTTTATCATAACTTTATCAAGTTCGAGTCTCTGTTAAATGTATGGATCAGGTTGTGAGCTAGGGAGTTAGATTGAAAGGAGAACAAAGACGAGCGGCATTTTGCAAGGGCCAGTACTGAGGGTTTGAGAAAATGTTTGACAAAGGCGTATGTATGTGTGTGTGATGCTTACTCTGTGTTACATACTGACAGATTCAAATGATGACCTGACTTTTTATCTTTCCATCCTCCTATTCTTTGGCTGTCGCCGACAGTATATTATGTGTGTGTATATCAGGCAGAATTTACTGATCTCATCGTATTATATGGTACTACCACACGGTCTGTGGTCTTATAGTTCTGAGTGACAGAACTTTGGACAAACTAGCAACTTTTCATTGGTCATTTGATTTTGTTTTCCTCTCGTTTTTATTTTCATGGAGAATTTTAATAAATAAAGAAATGTCCTGACCTCTGCTGTGGCATGGCCTCATTTTCAGGGCTTGTAATCAATTCTCATTCAGTCCTACTGCAGAAGAGGGGGTGAAGATTTCATTAGAACTATGTATCTTTTAGATTCCATAAATCTTTATGCTTCAGAAGCACTGTTATCATCTGATCATATGCTCCTCAGGCCAGCATTTGACTGTAAGGTTAACAGACCTAGCTTCAACCTCAAGTTTTTTTTCATAATATCTGAATTATTCTCATTTAGTTTAGACAAAAAAATCGTTGGCTGTCTGACGCAGAAGATATAGAAAATTGAGTTCCGGTTGTTTTCCCTTGACGTATTGCTCCAGGCCTTGAGTAATTGGACATGCTACGCATTATCCAGTCTCGCCTTATGGGCTTCACCACCCCTAGCATTTGAATGATAACCCAAAAAATATAAAACTGATAGTTTGTAAAGGAGAGGAAAAGAGAGCTAGCTGTAAATTCTTTTGTTTAGTTCCCATTTATCATTTGAAGTTTCTCTATTGGCTGGTCAGAAACAGAATGTGGGCTTCTGATTCAAAAACTCAAAGGGCTGCTCTTACCTTTTACTTTAGAAATTCTAGGTACAAAATGGTTGAGAAGCAGTTTTTTTTTATAATTGTTGTTGTTTTTGTTCATTTTAGGAAAATGAAAAAAGATTTCTCAGATAGTAGGCCAGAAAGGGAATAAAACAACAGAACTTAGGTGGGCATCGGTAACTATAAAGAAAAAGGATTTATCGTGCTGCAGTCTTTTCATCTTGCAACATAATAAACGATCTTTCCATTTCTTTGCACTATTCTAGTAGTATGCAACCACTGGCTTAGCAACAAATCAGATCTAGCCAGCCTTTGTTCATTTTCCTCATCTCCTTGCTTTCAGTCTTATTAATAAATAGTTGGAAAAGAGATCCCTTTCTCCACTGAACTTTCTACTTATACTGAGTGGCACCAAACTGCTGGGTAATGTAATTCATCGATCCACACGCTACGAAGTTAGCTCATTTCCCTTCTCTCTGCGGTTTGTGCTATGAGAAACTTCAGGACGTAGAGAGAGGGGATTCACCTCCTCATCATAGCCTGCCACGTAATGTGTCCATATCATACACAGCATTTGTAACTGACAAATCATAATTCTATACTGATTTGACTTATGTAGTTAGCATATGTGTGTCTAAACCTGTTGTGAACTATTTTATATTTACATATTGGTGAATTTAGCAAAACCCAGGTCATATTCTATTATATTGACTGAAAAAAGCCATATGTCACTTCAGCACCATTAATTAATATATGAACACCATAAAATCTTTTTTTTTTTCAATTTGGAACCATTTTCTGTGTAGGTGCGTATAGTTATTTTGTTTCATAATTTTGTTAGGTTAAGCGTAAAGTCTCATCATTTGAGAAGACATGAGCCTGACCACTCTTTTATGCATCTCACAGTCGTTTCAGTAAATTTCTTTATAGCCACAACTACTGGTTTGCAAATGCTGTAGACAACAAGTGTTTCTCCCCAAAGGCATCAAGAGGTGTTTCTGCTCAATAGTGTTATTTTGTCGGCAGTCTTACGACGACGGGCATATGATGAAGAAGACAAGATATCTTTTAGCTTTTTAGTATTTTGTCTCAATTTTAATTTTACATTGGAAATGTACATAGAAAATCAGCCTACTTTTCATGATAAGGGTAAGATTCTACCACTGTGATATTAGACACTAATGTAACGCCATGGCGTCATCATCATCATCTGTAGCACATCGCCACAAGAGTATTTTATAGTGTAGACCCATTTTTTTGTTACTCTTTTCTCTTTATTTTTATTATTAAAATCACTCAGTCTCGAAAGCATAATCTATAGCATCAAGTGGAAAACCCATGACAGGATTGAAAGGAAATGAGAACTTTGAAACGTGAACAGGAAAGCACTGAAAATTATAATGTTAATAAAGGAAGACGGCAAAGGCTTGTGGTTTATTAATCTTGCCAGAACTGCTAAAATCTTAAGTTTGATCGCAATACCCCATTTTCTCTGCACCTCACATAAAAGTGTAAGTGTGAACAGTTTATAAAAGTGAGAGGAAAGAATTACAAAGCAAAGGACGAAATCGTCGTTACAATCCATTTTTTAAAAACATAATGGGAAAGTATGAATTATGGACGCAAATACTTCTAATCAACATTTTTATTACGGTATATAGCAAGAACTGACTTTGACAGGCAACTGTAATATATTACTGTAAGACCACTGTAAAGGTGTGACATTTTCTGAAATCTTATCATAGACTTGTACTCTCCTCGGGGGTATATTTTCCCACGATCTTGGATGTATAATTTCTCTACGTTCTTAATTTATACTTAGTGACATGTAGATAGATGGACTTGTATTTCTGTGCATCAGACTAGTCACAGAGATGGTCATGTAATATATTATAATGTGATATTTTTCTCCCTTGTTCCCGTGATTATGAGATGGAATGGTTTTTTTCTATCTCAGTCCACCCCCCTTCCCCCCACCCTCTACCCATGCTGGTGGTGAAACAAAATAAAGTACAAACAAGAACCCAAAATGTGTTCCTTATTCTGTTCTCTGTTCAGTGTCAATTGTCCTATGTTTTTTTTTCAATTTTGTTTTGTTTTTTTAATGTGGGTGTTCTTATGCCCCTGTTGGTACAGTTCCGATCTTTTAGGAGGCAGGCTGCTGATTCTGCATGTCAGGGCCAACCCAGGCTGACAGGATTACAATATCCCAGGAGAAAGACCAAGATGCTCGATAAAAATGTTCTCCTGACTCAGGAATCAAACTTGGGTCTCCTACATGAGACAGCACAGCATCTAACCACTACACCACTTACACTTGTGTCAACATGTGTAAATTATATATATATAACTGTATGTCAAACAAGGTGAAAGTGGTGGTAGCTGCAAGCAGAGGGCATTACTTCTCGCGGGGGGAAAATGTTATTATTGAGTCCAGTGTACCTCGTTCTGTCATCTGAGATGTATCCTACTCAGCCCGGTTTTTTCCCAGTTAGACAAGCCAAAGGATCTAAGCTGTTCCGAAAGAGGTGTGAAACATTTATAAAATTATATTCATTACAAAGTGCAGTTGTAGAGCACTTTGTGTGGACTTCTCCCTCTACAAAGATCTACATATCTATACTTCAAAATACTTGTTTTCTTTGTTACTATTTTTAAGACTAATTGGTCGTTTTTAAGGATATGCGGGCCAACTCAGATTTCGAGAGGTTCCAGAAATCTTGAACTACACCAAAAGTGGGCATTGCCCTACCTATAGGAGAAGTTTGGTTTCATTGGTGTGTACATTTGTTTGGTTACAGAGAAAACTCTCCTTGACTTTTAAAGAGACTGAATAAAGATCCAAAAACTTAAAGTTCGATTTTCTCAAAACAGCATTTATCGGGATAAAAGCGACCAGTTGTTTCTTACAAAATGTGGCTGTCATCATGCCACACTTCACTTGAACTCAAACAAAATGGAAAGTCTGTCGGATCTGGCTCCTTACTTGGACAACTCAACTTTACTTTCAACAAAGAGTCACTTTAGTTACATCCTGCTGAATTTTTTTGAAACAAGAGATTATTTTTAATTTTTTTTTTTCCCGCTCCATTGCATCAAAGATGATGAAACAGGTGAAAAGCAGATGCTCAATAGAGGTGGCTTATTACAAAAGCTGACATTTCTCTAGCACTGACATGCCCATAGAGAAACCCAACTTACACAAACTGAATGTTGGGCAGAGGCAAACACATATATGTAAAATCAAAAACAAAGGACAATGAAAAATCCTGCAACAACAGCATTTTTATTACCAAAAAAATAAATGCCAAAGTACACGATAAATAGATACATCTTGCAAGTTACAACATCACACAATAATTCTGTCATTAAAATCTTTCCACTTTCGATTCATATTTTTTTCACCATCTAAGTACAGAGTGATTGGGAGAGAACATCAACTGTGATCAATCTGGAGTCAACAATCACAACCCTTTCCTTGCAGTGAATCGCACCCTGCCTTTGTGCAAGCAAAGTTTTGTTTTGCCGTTGTCATAACTCCTGCACATCATATGCGAAGGGTGCTGACAAAACAAGTAACTTCTCGGACTTGAGCCCAATGGAAATAGATACAACACGCTTATAGGTAAAGTATCTACAATTTATAAAAGTATGAAATAATGAAACGCATGTTAAACTGAAAATATGACATCAATTGAAAATCTACAGATTCGACCCTAGTGTCAATATTTAGCCAGTCTCTTCATTTGTGGATTGTGAGAAGTAACTGATTTTGTCAGCACACCTCACATATACATATACTTTTGTACATGAACTTTCCATCTACAAAAGAAGCCAACTGTCGGTGAACCCTGTAACCTTGTAAACATTTGTAAAGGTTCATGTTTTATGCCCCAGCCACACAATTTGAATAAATAACCTAGAAAGTGGCCTCCTTCACCAGACATGAATTAAACAACAAACAGGCGAGAAGTAAGCTTACAACGAAGCAAGGGTGGGAGTGTGGCGCTGTCTCTTTTTTATCAGAAAAAATCATAAAAGAGAATCTTGTTCCTGTTTCAGGAAGCAACATCCCTGCACTCCGGACATGTCCATTGATGCTCCGTTGATCTCTCCAAAATGTTGCCGAAGGTCCTTCTACTGATTGTGCCAGTGCACATCTGGTTGAACGTTTTTATTCAAAAGAGAATACATAAAGCTACCAGCAATTTTCTTTAAAATCTTCTGGCTGTGACTTTTTTATTCTGAACACATACATGAGATATAACAAACAGGTAAAAATGTAATAAATAGGCTGAGGATGAGAGTAAAAAAGACAAGCACAAAGCAATCTCGATATGAATGATAGTGGCACATGGTTATAAAATCATTAGTACATCATTATTGTACGATGTTAGCTCCAAACCACAATATTGCTTGCATAACCGAATCTGGCCGACATTAAAACCAAAAAGATTTCAAACAATTTTTGACATTGTCGTCTATCTGTTAACAAATCCAGGTAGCTAAAACCTTCAAGTTCTTTGCTAGTTCATCTTTAGAATCAATAACAAGCAAATATCTTGCAGAGCTATTAGTGAACTGTAACGCCACACACACTATGTTGAGTATAGAATACTCAGGAAATAAAGCAATTGCCGGTAATGCAAAACCTCATTCTAATCTACATCTTTTATTTAATCTTTCAAGAAACATTTTCCTTCCATTCAATAGACAGCCCTGAATCAAAAGCTTACTAAAAAAAATTATATGCATCAGAATTCAGGCATGAGGCTGAAGATTGAAACTCTGTCCAAATATACCCAGACAAAACCAGCAGGAAATATCAAATACATATTCCATATTTTTCTCAAACATGTCTGCAAATTTCCCCTAACTAAACAACACAAATCAGATTCTACCATACATATTTTATGACCAGCATGATAGGTAAGAAGAATCTTCTTTTTTTTCTTCAGAATCTCAGATTTACAATTATGAGCACAAATACTGAGTTCAAAAAGATAAAAACTATCTTTCTTTTTTTTAAACCCACAAAAAACAAAAGGTTATGAAGTTCAGTTGGAATAGAACTGATACTTAACCTGTAATAATCATTTTTTTATTTTGATTGCTACCATTCTTGCGTACTTGAACATTAAAACGAAATCATATGGGACAAACATCATTCAATAAGCCTATAAAGGCAGACAGATTCATGAATTATAAAACATGACAGATTAACTAACAATCAATTTTGTCACGGCAACCTGAATATATACTGAAAGACAAAAGAGAAAGTCGTACAATTTTGACTGAAAATTTAAAACAAGGTACATTTTTAAAATCTGCAAATTGTATCAAGGTCCTGAAGAACTCAGAGTCTGAAAGGTTTAACTATTTTATCAATATTTTTGCATCTGTTTCTGATGTCCAGGCGAGTGAAATACAGTCACGGGCTGGGTCATCCGCGTGTTGAGCTTTGTTTGCGTAGTGTAACAACAAGAGTTTTTGTCTTCTCATTTTGAGGGATGGGATGCTAGACTTCAGCCTGGAGGCTCCCCACAGGAGATGTGTGGAAAGCCCAAAGGGCAAGGTGGAGACCTTGGTTCTGTGTGGGCTCTATCACTTTAGGACATGAAGTCTTGCGGATTCATAGACATGACAGCCGTAGTCAGGTTTAGACTGGACAGAAGAACAATAAAGAAGGAGAAGGCTTTTGGAGTCTTCGGATAAGACAATATTTAGTAGGTTTAAGGCTGTCTGGCACCTCGCGCGAAGGTTTTTAATGTGTGGGATGACAGTGAAATTTTTGTCAAAGACTATTCTGAGGAATCTTTAACACTCAGAATCTCCTGAAAAGAGCAGGGAGAAGAAAATCTCTTTTTTATCAAATATGATGTCAACTTTATGACCATGCACATCCTAATAGAATGTCTGGACTTTGGAGAGACCGAAAGGAAATATTTGAAATGTATCAATTTGAAGAATTTGTTCTCTATCGTTGATCCTAGCAGAATGCTCAATTTTATAAAGACCATTGATCTTCACTCCAAAATGTAGATTAAACTACTTTTAAAAATATTATTGAATTTTAACCATGAATTTTAGGCTTTCACCATAAAGTAAAACCATGCCATGCTGTGAACTGACATGAAAACAACCAACTTGAGCCCCTCTCATTCAAATTACCTTTTGCAGCTACAAGCACCGTAAAACTCTTACTAAACAGACTTACATTTCACAAACAACTTTCTCATTTTTTAAGCAATCAATTCATGAATGAACTATTTCCTTATGTTGGCGATAACATAGCATTACAGTGGATTTCAGAGGAGAATGGAATCTTCAATCAATAAGTTATAACCTCAAACTACACACATTATACAATCTATATCAGCTAAGCTGAGGGATAATTCAGACAAAAGAATACATTTTCAACACACAGGAGAAATACATTTTCAACACACAGGAGAGTAACTTTCATGGGTCTCAACTCAGAATTTTAAAAAAAGGAAGAACATTCCACATGATCGCGACAGAAGACCATTTTCGTGAGACACCCATTATTATTATACTGTTGAACCCTAGAATGCTGAAATAAAAATAATCAATTTATCAAAGCAAGGTTATTTCATACCAATTTGAGGATTTGGAATATAATTTCACGTAAAAGAGTCACCTACCAAATACTAACAATCTTGATTATGTACAGAAAGTGGTGGCGCATTGCCGGAAAAATTTTCGTACTTGCTCACTGTCACTTTAGCAGAGCTTAGCGGAGGAAATGTCAGTAGCGGAAATCCCCTAAATAGTGGAATATAGAGACCCATGAACTTTACATAAAACAAAGCTTCAGCTATAGTGAACTGAGAAAAAAAAAGTTTACAATAACAAAAACACATACCTCTGACACAACGAACCCAAACAGTGAGTAAATATGTGAATGTGCGTAAATACTTGAGCTTCACACTCTTTCCTTCCACCTTTGCCATACAAAAAAAAAAGGAATCATTTCTCACAATCAAAATTGTGCCATGAAAAAGGATCAGGTTTTATTGCTTCCTCATAAAACAAAAACAACAACACCAAACTATATTTTGTATACAGTCAAACCTCATAGTACCACCACCCTTAAGACAAGTGATAAGGACCGTACCGCTCATACTCAGGACTCAGACAGTTGGCGGATGTCGCTTATACAGCATAAATATTATGTTTATATAGTATAGTATTAGCATCAAGAAAAGGACAATAAATAAAAAAAGAGAAGACAACATCAAGGGACACCATGAGCAATAATCTACAATGTTACACATTACCGAGAGCAAACACTGACAGCATAGTTGTGAAATTGTTAAACAACTGGATACTTATTAAAAGTTATTAAAACAAGGGTCAAAAATAACATTCACACAGCTGAGACATTTTTCGACACGCATGAATTAAACTCTTAAATGAAAATAAGTCAAGGTAAAAGTTTTTATAAATCACCATAATGATCATATTTTTTTAATAGATAGAAAAATGACAAGTGGGTAGAGTCGAACAGGTAAAGTCCTGCAGTAGTGTTCACTGGGGAAAATGAGCACAACTTTGTGGAATCCCAAAAATTTCCCAAAAGAACAAATGTTTTGAATCTTCTGTTCCGACATTCCCCAATAATTTCTGCAATCCAAAAAAGCCACAAGGCCCCCCTGCCAAAGGCCAGATGTACCAGGGGAGATTACTCCTGATGAGGTCATTATTGAAGCAGTCAGGTGGGGTTCTGTTGTGTAACCTGGCACAGTTTGAAGAGGTCGTTGAGTGCAACCCCTTCAGCTTTGCCATGATTGTCTATTTGTTTTCTTATTTACTTGAGTAAAAGAGACGTACATAGACACAACAAAGTCATTTCGTGCAAGTTAAAGTGAGACAGATCTGACAGACAAAAAACAGGGGGACAGAAAAGAAGTGGGACCTACCAGTGGGGTCGTCCTCCAACCACCCACTTCAGCCTTGGCAGAGAATTAAAGAATTCAGATACCCAGACTGAGTGGGTCGCAACGTCCCAACAGATAAATGGAGGTATTCAATATAAAAGGTTACCGTATCAGGAATTGAACTCATGGCTTCGGCAAGAAGCATAAAAAGATCTAACAACTATCTGTCACACCACGTAAGCAGATGGACAAGAATAGTAGAAGGAAAGAACAAAAGCATGACCTACCCATAGCCTTCTCAACCCCGTTTTTTCTTACACGGGGACCCCCCCACCCTCGAACACTCAAAGCACAGCAAAAACGTATAAATACTCTATGCGCACTTCGGGAAATTTCACACAACCACCTCTGTAGTGCAATTGCTTCATGGCCTGACTAGCATGCAGTGCGCTAAGGTTCAAATCTAAGTGGAGGAGAATTTTTTCTCATCCATCCCGCAATTATTTTCTATAAGCCTGGTGTAAGAGGCTCTCAAGTGATACCTAAAAAATTGCTTATTCAATTTCTTTCTGTAAAGAAGAACATATAGACACTAAAATGGTCGTTGACAGCAGGAACAGAGAGATAGAAAGAGAGACAGAACAGCAGGGGGGGAAAAAAAGAAGTGGGACCTAAAAGTAGCAGCTTTGAACCATCCATGACTATTCAGTGCCTACAGCCATTAGCAAAACAGAAAACACAGAAAAAAATGTAAGTTCCAAATCATAGAAAAACTCCTTGCTCCTTGCATATCTGAAGATTTCTTCACTACTCTACATAAAACAATTTCACTTTCTTCAAAAACAAAACAAAAAATCTAATCTTTCACAACCACAAAAAACTAAAAGTGCAGCACTCTCTCACCAACCCACAAAAACACACTTCACATTCTTTACCTTAGCAGAACTCCAACAGGGGAAGCTTTCGCCACAGAAGAATACACCTGCAAATCATGCAGTCCCCCTTCAAGAGCTATTATAAAACCATGTGGAAATAATCCTAGAAACCACAAAGGCTTTCAGAGGGGCCTCTTACCTCCCATCGCCGCAGTAATGGTAATGAGCTGGCACAACATGTAGTTTGACAGGCCAACTGTTTTCACATTCCAAGCATTTCTCTTATAGGACTCAAGGTTAAAGATTGTGAGGAACACAATGGTTGAACCAATTTTCTAAAATATTTTCTGAACAAAACAAGTGCCTTTGATAACAGAATAAATCATCTAAAATATTTCTCAAAAAACTTTCTTCACGGGAGATCGAATTTTCTAAAACATTTTTCTAGGAAAGTTTTCAAAAATAGAACAAATTATCTAAAATGTATTTCTTTAAAAGGAAGAGTTAAGCAATAGAATAAATTGCCTGCAAAATTTTTTTAAGCAGCATAAGGTTATTGATACATCATGTAGTTCATTTCAGTCTCCAAAATACAGTCGAACCTGCCCTGACGGCCACCTCTATAAGACGGTCACCTGTACAAACGGCCACTTTCCATTTCCCCCCCTTGTGTTTTTTCTATATAATTTAACAGTGTAAAACGGGCACCTGTCCAACGCGGCCGTGGCCACCATATTTTAACACGCAACCCCTATCACACAAAGCAAATACACCTGTCTAAGACGGCCACCTTAGTGACTCCATTACGTTTTGGCATAAATCAAGCTTTGAGCTCTTGCGTTGTGGGCGAGCCGTCATAATCTAATCACCCGTTGTTTTTGTTAGATAGTCCCTCCAACCGATCATGTTGCATAGGCCCCTCCCACTGTTGACCAATAGGTAACAAAATTAATTTTAAGCTGCTGGTGAGGTAAGCGTGTGATCCCTCATAACCCATAAGCCCCGCCCAGAATTCATACACACAAATCGTAAGTGAGATGAGTGGTCACTGTTTACCCAGTCTGTAACAAAGTAACAATGGACGTCAACCTGAACTTGTGACAGAAGCGTCGCTTGTTCTCCGAATGGTAGCGATACGTGTGTTTGTTTTACCATAGCACCCAGTCCTCCTTGTCTCACACATTTCTTTTTATTGTCACCCTTGTACAAAAGCAGCAACAAAAGAAAAAAAGAGAAGAAAAAACCCAGCGAAAACAACAACAACAATGCGGCTACCTTCGGGTGGGACCTCAGAAAAGAATGGTTTGTTTTCTTCATTTTGATCAGTCCTGCCTAAGACGGCCACCTGTCTTATACGGCCACTTTTCTCCTTGACAATGGGTGGCCGTTTTACACAGGTTCGACTGTAGCAAATTCCAAATTGCTGAAATTAGATGCATCTATTATTATTATGGAGCCTATGTTCATGATGAGATAATAAGACAATTAAAAAAACCCTATGAAGAGAGGCAGAGAGGCAGAGAGAGCAGACTACACCACAGGACCCATCAATCTTTCATCACGCACTAGCATAAATATTAAGGGAATGTAAGGTAATAAAAGCATGATGAACAGTTCATAATAAACAAACATAAAAAATTGAAAAACTCATATCTATAACATTCACTCTTAACAAAGACAACAAAATACACATCTTTAAAAATAATACACATGTATATACCAATAGACTGCCTCCAGGAAATAACATTTTCCAACTTGCGTACTTTTCAAATAGTCGTTTAAAACAATATGGAATCCATCCTTCACAACATATTGCACCTAGAGATCAATAGAATACCTGTAAAACACTAGGAATGAACCTTTTCAGCTCTGGCTCCCTAAACCAACGGGAACCTACATGCCAGCTCTCAAGGGAAAACTTCTAGACTCAGTCCCGTGCACGCTGGGAAAATTTCCATTCCCCACATGATCGCAAGTAAGCAAATGTGGCAATTTTCATTGTTTCTATTCACCGCTAAGTAACACCATATTTCACAGCTATACCACAAGTCCACATTTTTTTTAATGTACATGGGGTCTTTATACACCTAGCGCTGAAGTGTACATTTGGTAAATGATAGAGAACATGTCAAGCCCTGAGGTGCAAGTATCTGTCCATACAATTTATGTAAAAACTTAACCAGAGGTGAGAATAATGCTGAATGAAGTTTTTGGAAAAGTAAATAAAACTCTTTTCAAATTACATGATATTCTTATTGTTCTAAGAGACATAACACACACATTTATGTATATTATATA